CTTGTTTGCAAGAAAACAACCAAGCTCAGAGAACCCCAAGGACTCCACAGGGTAGACTGTATATATCATTCTGAGATATTTTATTTATTCTTTCCTACAGGCCACTGAATGCCAGGAGTTGGATAGCTTCTAGGGCTAATGCATTGTATAGTCAGATAACGTGTATTTCTCCATGAGTTCAGCTTCTGATAGAGAGTTTGAGCCCCACAGAAAAAGATCTGGCTGTGTATATCTGATGAGCCCCAATAAGGAAGAAACAGGTCATGTACTGCCTCCTGGTGGCCAACAAAAATGCAAACAACATCCAGAAGCTGCAGTGGTATGGGCAATACTTATGGGTAAACCTCAGTACACTTGTGCTACCCCTCTGCTCTGCTTTCAGTGGGCTTCTGGGTGCAATTCAAGGAGCTGATTGTTGCCTATAAAGCCTTTAGATGTCTGAATTGGGAGAATTATTAATACAAAGATGACTACCATGACGGATAATCCTGCCTTGGCTGAACTGAATAGGTTTAACTAACCATAGTACATCAAGCTCAGATATCCAGAATTTTTGTTTGTAAAAATTTTTAAGTAGAATGTTTTGATTTTTTTTATTTAATCCTTGCACATGGCAGAAAAAGGTGGGGAGAAGCATGTGTAAACTCATAATAGTTTGTGCCCTTCTGAATTATGCTTTAGGTTATGTCTGAACAGTCCCTTTAGTAAGAGAACAGTTTTGTTGTTATTGTTGCTGCTGTATTTATGTGTGGTTTTAATAACATCCATATATATATTTAATTATATCAGAATTTGCTATACAAATTGAACTAGGGAGGATTCATTGAAATATGTCTGCATCTGTAGTATTGCTCTTAAAAATTAAAACTACTAGCTAAGATAGTTAAAATTAACTTCTTAATAGCATAAATATGCCATTGGAGCTACTCTGTTTTAATCAATTTTGAGGCTGAACAAAAATGTTTAAGATTTTTAGAAACAAATTAAGACATGGCAACAGTTTTATATTGTATGACAGTCTGGAGTGTGTACAGAACACATTATGAAATCAAATATATTAATTGTAGGGTATTCAATAATGTAGTGTATAAACCATTGATCTGTGACACTGTAGTTTGAAAGAGTGGAAATGTGAAAGATCATTTTGCAAATGGGACGTGTCAAAGGCACGCTGCTTATTTTTAGTGAAGATAAAGCAGAAAAAAAATAATAAATTGATGCAACCATTTTAGAGAATAACTTTCCTGAAATTAGCAGAATAGTTTGTCTTCAAATAGTCTTAAAGCTAGGAAACCCTTGATTTTTCTGGTTTTGGTAATTTTTATTTGGTAAATAAAAAAGCTCTGATTTTGCTCAGTGTCCTGCTAAGGTAAGACAAAGAGTGACTATGATGGCTGCTTTGCTGACAACAGAGTCCAGAATAAATTGAGTGACATTAAAGCTGGTGTAATAAATGAAATATTTTGATTTGCTAGTAATTATGCACTATTGTTGACATAAATATTGTTGGTCATATGGAAGAAATTATTATCATATATCACCATGAAGTAATCTGGAATTCATGGCTTAAAATATAATGTGAACTAGCAGTGTGGTAGTATACTATATTTGTTTCTCATTTTACACAAGTAATTAAAGAAAGCAAGGAAGGGGAAATAGCTTCATTTTGTCTTATCCTAGGATTATGTTAAGTGTGTCCAAAGAAACAGAGTTACACAAGCCAGCAGAAAACCTAGTTTATGATCATAATACAAAGCTTAGACATAATATATAAGTACTGCTTCTTGGTGGTTTATCCAGTGACGCATAAGGTGAGGCTGAATAGCCCACATATACTTGTTTATTAAACAAGGTGTTTTGGCTTGACATGGCATGCAAGTCAATAAATAAAAACCATTCATTTTTATTTCCATTGGCCAATGTCTTTAAAACAATAAGTTATAGTAATTGGAATGGCAGTATAAGAAGCAGGAGAAAATACTATGGTAATATTAAGCTCCAAATGCCTTGACAATTCAAAGCATTATACAGGTAGTCATCAAATTATGATGGTAATTGGGACTGGAATCTTTGTCACTAAGCGATGTGGCTGTAGAGTGCAACATCATATGACTGCATTGCTTAGCGATGGCAATCCCATTACCGTTGTTAACCAAATTCCAGCTATTGTTAGGTGAGGGCCCACCCTTATCCAGGCCATTTCTGCCTTGGTCCCTCCCAGCCCCAAGCTTTGGTAAGATAAGGGACTGCCTCCCCTGCCTCCTCTTCAGTTCCCCCTACCTGCCTATCTCCCCCCCATCTCTGCCCTTTTGGCTGCACTGTACAGTGGCACTCCTTGGTGGTGGTGGCACTGGGGTGAAGTAGAGGCCCAGGGCCCTCAGCAGTCTCAGTCAGCCATCACTGCCTTTGGGCCTCCACTTCAGCCCCAGTGCTGCCGCCAAGGAGTTCCGCCTCAAGCCCTGCGCCACGGCCAACCACCATAGTGCAAAGCCCCTGCTGCTCTGTGTTTCGCAGGCCCTGCTGCGCCCAGCTGACCTTTGCTATCTTCTGCTGCTGATGAGGCACGCCCAGTCTGGCCCTATGCAAGGCAGCTCCAAATAGCGATGCTTTGGAAGGCTTCTGAGGCTATCTGAAACCTTGCGAGGAGGCCATGCCCACTGTTCTCCAAACCACACGTGCTGTTCTTGCGATGCTTGGGAAGCCCTCAGAAGCTTTTCGAGGCTTTCTGAAGCATTGCAGAAATGGCATGTGCGGCCTTGCAAGCTTTCAGAAAACTTCAGAAGCCTTCCAAAGCACTGAAAGAATGGCATGTGCTATTTGGAGAATGACACAAGCGGCTTCAGGAAGAAGGCCTGGTGTGGCCAACAGCTGCCTCTGATAGGGCCAGCCAAGTGTGCCTCATCAGCAGTGGGAGGAAGACAGCAAAGGTCAGCAGGCCCTGCAGTGGCAGGGCGGTGGAGAGGCTGGGGCTCTGACCTGTGGCGCTGGGGTGGCTGGCTGAGACATGAGGCTTGAGGTGGCACTCCTTGGTGGCATCGGGGCTGAAGTAGAGGCTTGGGGGCAGTGGTGGCCAGCTGAGACTGCTGACTGTCCTGGGCCTCTACTTCAGCCTAGTACCACTGCTGCCACCAAGAAGTGCCACTATACAGAGTGCCAAAAGGGCAGAGATGGAGGGAGATAGGAGGGGGAGTTGAAACGCCCCGCTGTTGTAAGTGTGGGTGGGCTGCCAAGCACCCAAATTTTGATCACGTGATGGGGGGGGCGCTGCAGTGGGCATAACTTAAGGGACTGGTGTAAGTACCATTTGTTCAGCACCTCTGTAACTTTGAATGTAAAAGAACATAGGAATTCATATAGGGAAAAATATTTCCTATTAAGTTGTCTTGGACCTGATCAAGTAGAGCAAGAACTAAATTGTCACATTTTAATTAGCTGCATTATTTTCCTGAACTATACTCAAAGGTACTTTCACATTGCTGCAGTCTGTTTAGAAATTGACACCTGTTCGTAGTCCAAGTTTTCTTTGCAGGGATGGCTGCTAATAACTGAATATCTTTCACTGTGAAAGAAATACATCTGTCAGATCTCTGTGATTTCTCAAAGTGTAACAATTTTTCTGTTTGTTTCCATTACTAATTGTTGAGTAATATGGGCTAGAACTCTTTTGTATCAAATTCTGAGACTTTCTGCTTTGCACTTGTATTTGTTATATTCCAACACATTGCAATTATAGCAATATATTCTGCCTCATATGAACTCAGAGATTTGGGGAAGATGAGATGCTTTCCTAGAATGTAGTCATGATAGATCTTCTTCGTAATCTACTTAGGTGGCTCATTGTAATTGTTCATTACAAACATAATTTATTTCCATGAATTATGCATTGGAGTAACTGCTTAAATCTTTATTGATATTGCTTAACAAATATTATATCTGTTTCTGAACATATATCTGAATGTATCATACTTTTTTTATAGCTGAAACACTCTTTTCAAGAAAGCTTAATGGAAAATACAGACTGGAACATCTTATTCCAACTGCTGTGTATCAGCATATGAAAATGCATAAGCGAATCCTGGGACATTTGTCTTCAGTATATTGTGTAACATTTGATCGAACTGGTAGACGAATATTCACAGTAAGTGCAGATTCATGACAATATTTAAAAGCATAGCCTTGCAATGTAAGAGGAGTAAAGGGTGATGAGTATGAATTAACAAACAAAATGAAGAAAGAAAAATAGATTTATTGCTTGTGAAACCAACAGAAAGAGGGAGGGTGTAATAGATGTGAATTAGTAGAATTGAAGGATATATGCAATGAAGGTATAGGTTTAATTAAGAACAGAAGGGCTAAAATAGATATAAAGTATGAATTGGTGTCATCTAATTTGTTGTGACTCTGTATGAAAATAGGAATCTATAGGTTGGTGGAAGTTGCAGGTTATGCAAATAGTGATAATGGAAGAGTTGGGATGAGTTTGGGGAAAAACTCTGCAACTCTCTGAATGAATGTGATCCAGGAGAATAAATTAGGATTAGTTGATATGAATGGATGTGAGGAAACAAAATGAAAGAGTACAGAAAAAAATGATTGGGCCGTTCAGAGACCCAGTAATAAACGTGAATGCTGATTTTTGGTCATGAAAAGGAATGAATCAAAAGGTAAGATTGATCTGATTCTTCATAATGAAAGATTGAGGAGGGGTTCTGAATGTTGGACAGACCATAATTTGGCAGGGTCAGGGATGCACCTCTGGGAAAAATAGATATGGAAGAAGAAAAAGAATGAAAGAACCCAGAGTGGAAGAAGAATGACTGCAGGAAGAGAAAGTATGAATCCTTTGTGGAACAGTGTTAGATAAATCTCCCAACAGAATAAATGGAAAGTGGACATAAAGGGAAGAGGACATGGAAGCTGCTTGAAAAGAATTATTTTTAATGCCACAGTTGTGTGTAAAAGTATGAGAAATGTAAAAAGAAGCTGTGAGAGAGGGGAAAAAAAACAGAATGGATGCTGTAAAAATAAGGATGAAGGATACCTTATAGAAAAAGATATCAGCAACTGATGAACTCAAAGCAAGGAACAACTACAGTGGGGCAAAAAAGTATTTAGTCAGCCACCAATTGTGCAAGTTCTCCCACT